GCCTTGGGAAAACAGGCCACTGAGGAGACAAAACCTGTCCCCCTGGCAGGGGCGCAGCCCCTGCCTCCCTCACATCACCCTGCTTGGCCATGTGATGGTCGGTTGTTGATGACGGGTAAGTTCTCTCAAGAGGAGGGACATCTTAAGTCATACATTGGCCAGTATGGGCAGCAGACAAGGACTTGGGGGACACGGAGAAAGGGCAAAGGCCTGCACCCCTCGGCTTGGTTTGGACATGGCCAGAGTCCTCATTCCATCTGAAAGAAGTCTCCTTGTCTCTTGGTGGCTCTGCTCCACCCACCTGGCTTAGGCTTGAAAAAATACTAAAGACAGGTACAGCCCTAAACTGTATCGGACAGTTCCTGGGGACAATCAGGCCTAGAACTAAGTAAATCTCAGCATGTGTGTTCTTCCCTCAAACCTATGATAACTGGCTCATGCTGGGAAGGAGATTTACATTATTCATAGACATAGACCTTGTGTTCCTCCAATTGTTATCCATGATCTCTGTTTTCTGTAAACACAGCCTTTTGACATTGATTGATGAGCTTTGCTGTTTACCCCTGTGCATAGGGTTCTCGATAAAAGCCTTTGGACACGGGGGTTTGGGGCCTTCTCTCCCCTAGAGGGAAGAGCCATGCCCCCTCTCCTGGCAGACAGAGAAGTGTTTGCAATGACTCGTGTTTATTCCCCCATCTGTGACACCCCTGGGGCGGGCTCTGCAGGATTCAGAGCCCCGCTCCCTCCTCAGGTGGCTCTGGACTGTAACCCTCTGGTCCAGGGACCCTGCGCTCCACTATGGGGCTCCCCACAATGTGTCGCTCCCCGTGACACTCTTCAACCTTTTATAAACACCTGTGGGACAGCTGATCGAACTGGAAGGGGAGTGTCACCATGCCCAAGATGTGGAGAGAATAATAGCCTGTATGTTCATAAAGAACTAATGGGTATCAGAAGAGCTGCCCTCAAGATACTCACTGTCTTCTGACTTGTTATAGTAGGTTGAGTGATCACCCCGAAATCCTATGTCCACACCCTAATTGCCGGAACCTGTAAATGTGAACTTATATGGAAAAAAAAAAGAGACTCTGTAGATGCCAGTAAGCTAAGGATCTTGAGATGAAACGATCACTGTAGTTTATCCAGATGGGCCCTCCCTATATCCACACAGGGAAAACTGACGGACAGACAAGAGAAAGAGGCAGTGCGACCACGGAGACAGAGAGCCCCCGAAGGTGCCAGAAGAGGAAAGAGGAAAGAGCAAGGGTGGAAGCTTTTCTAGAGCTTTTGAATAGAGCACAATTCTACCAGCAAGCTTGTGGCGGGCAGTTAGACAGACATGAGCAGGGCAAGGATGACGGGCCAAGTACAGAAGGTCACCAGGGCAGAGAGCCCTGGGTGCCTAGCAATGGGCAACATTGAGAAAACAAGAACCTCCCCCCAGGGGAATGTTTCTTCTCCTAGCGTATTGCTGGTCATGTGGTTTTGAACCCCTGAACTTTCCTATCACTGGTCACATACTTTAGACCCCTTAACCTTTCATATCTCTGTGCAATTTGGACCCTCCCCTGACATTTTCTCCCCTGGCATGTTGCTACTCACGCGCAAGAGACCCCCTTAGAGGAGGAATGAGCAAAGGCCCTGGAGAATAGCTCTTAATCATTAAGCCCCCAGGACAGTGAGCTCTGACCCACATCAAATATGTCTAGGCCTCAGTTGTGTTTCAGCTCCAGGCCCAGAAAAGAGGCAAAAACCGACAAGTGGCACCATGGCGGACATCGAGACCAGCTGTATTAACTAATGACCCTCTGCCCTGGTGCCGACCAATCCGTAGAGACCATGACCCTGAAAGGACACACCTAGGTAGCTGATGATATTCTACTGGGATTGTCCCCTGAGACTTTCAAATAAACACCCTCAAGACAGAGGACCCAGCACTGTTCTCTCGGTGGAGCACAGCAGCATCTTTCCCCTCCCCCGACACCGAGGCTCAGTTTCCTTGCCTCTCTCCCCTAAGCTCCAACGGCCCTACTTTTGCCTCTGTAATTTGTTTCCTGAGCCCATTTCTTCTACAACTCACTTCTTCCACTGTGATTTTATAAATAAACTTTCTCTTACAGTTTGATTCTTGGCTCTGAATTCTTTCTTAGCCTGAACTCAAGTACTGAGGTTGCTGAACCAAGGGCTGGTCTGACTCCACGTAGTTGATTATATTCTTTATGTGGTAAATTTCTATTGGAATCCTTTGAACTTTAAGGATAGAATGTAAACTACTTCCTCAGAAGATGTTATGGCACCTCTAGAGATGTGAGTGAGCATTGTCCTGAACAGAAGGTCCATAGCCATTATATTCTCAATAGCGCCTCAGCAAGATCCAAAAAAAGACTCTAAGAATTTCTAAGAAAAAGTTTGGGTGAGTGGAAGAATGAGAAGCAGCTGAGTCCTTTGAGAAATGGGAACAAAGAATATGAAAAATACAAAGAGATTGTTTCCAATATTTGGAAGTAGAAAGAACCCAGTGTGTGCGGTTAGAAGGCTTGAAATTCATGCCTTTAGAAAGAAGGTTTGGTTTTCTCATACATGCAGGTGAGGAAGTAGAAATTACAAAGGTTTTATAAAGGAAACTACAAAAGACAAGCTCCGTTTAGCCCAGAGTCTAAAAGAAAGGATGTGTTCTTTCTGGACAGAAGGTTAGGAGGTTAGAGAGAAGTTAAGCTTCTGTAGTTAAACCTCACAGGTGATTGAAAAAGATAAATTCTCTTTCAATGATGAGTAAGTGAACTGTTGTCTCGAAAGTGTTATTTCTATTGTGGAGCAAAAGGGACAAAAAGCAGGTTATTAAAAGTAAAGAATGGTATAACATTAAGCCTGACTCCAGAAAGGCAAGGGAATAGGCACATTTTCTGAGCCTGTCTCAGTGAAAAAGTTATGAGATGGGATTTAGAGAATTTGGAACAAGCCTTAGCCAGGATCTTGGCTGCCAAAACCATAAGGTCCAACAATGGCTACTCCTTTCAGTGCCATGCCAACTGCCTCCCAGGTGGTAAATGCACCTGCATGATTCCCCCATGAAAGTACTTGAGATGGAGTCGGGGTAGGGACGGGGGCGGGGCGGGGGGGGCGGGGGAAGAGGGGAGAGTGTTGTGTGAGCAGCTCTGCTTTCCAAATTGGAACACAGTACCTGCAGCCATAACAAAATTACAAAGTGTTTGATACAAATACCTCACAGGTGTTTACATTCAGGTGGCCTGTTCCGTCTGCCAGCCCTGGAAGGAGCAAGTGAAACCCAAAGCCTGGTTTGCCGCACGTAGTCTGCAGTCCTAACCGCAAGACAGCATCCTTTACAAACCTGGAATCTGGTTGAAAATTCGCAGACTGAAAGCTTTCCTGCCACACATCTGGGATATAAATCTGCAAGTCATTACAATAAATGTTTTAAGAGCTCAGGAGAAGCAAGTGCAGATACGCATAAAATGGGCCACTCTTTCTAAGGATTCTGCCCTAACACGGATTTCTTCTCTGAAGCCGCTACAGTGTTTCTATAACTTGCATGACCAAGACCGTATCAAGTGAGAAGAACGGACCTAATTAAGTTTTTCATATTGTTTGCTTGTTCAGGAAAAATTATGTCAGACTCTAAATTCCTCTTTGAACAGAATTATCAAGTGAGCAGAGGAATAAAACGTACTAGCCATTGGGCCATGCAAGTTACATGATGTGGAATCACATTTTGTAACTTGAGTATTCGATAAAGCACAAAACTTTCCTTATCAAATGATTTCATCCGTCTTACCTCCTGCTCTTTCCAGCACTAGCTGGCGAATGGCCTGCAGCATCTTCAAGGGCTTGCTGCTCTCAGGCCTTCCATCTCTCACCCCACCCACAAAGCCCCCTGATGGCTCTCTACCTGGGTCTAATAACAGATGAAAAGCAGGCAGCATGTTTCTTTTAACAAACACGTACAGAAATTTCTATGTGCCAGACACAAATGTTATCAAGCACTTGACAAATGTTAACCCATTTATCCTCAAAAAAGCTTATGAAGTAAGTTCTATTTTCATCTCCATTTCATACATGAGGAAACTTGTCATGTAGCTAGTATGAGGCAGAACCAGGATTTAAATGACTCTGTGAAATTCAACACTATACCATGCTACCTTAAGTAGAAATACGAAAGGGCATGAAACAGAATTATCAAATTATACTAAGTGCTCATAGGCAAGCATTTATTAAAATGGGGATTATTTTAAAATTTTAATAAATGGAGTTTTTAATGGAGAAAGGTTATTTAGAATGGTCATGTAGACAGGTTTTTGTAATGGGTTTCTAAAATTATAGTTTATGATGCTTTATTTCTTATACACACACAATAGTAAAGCCAATTGATATAATCAACACTCCAATTTGTACACATCTTTAAATCATTAATTATCTTTATTTCTATGATTATATAGGTGATAAATGTTCCTATTGGAAAGACTCAGGAAAGTGCACAGCCAAAAATAACGAGCACTCAGAATCCCACCCTCCAGAAACCACCGCTGCTGCTATGTCCGTATGTGGACTTTCTAGTCTTCTTCCTATGTGTATATTCATCCATCAGTGTGTTGACTTAGCTTTTATTAAATGTGTTCTTTGTGACAAAATGGCGCATTGTTTAAAGGAAAACACTTTACTTTTTTTCAGGGCCCCAATGTATACTAAATATTCTCTAAGGATTGTAAAATTCATAAAACCACTATAGGAAGGTTACAAAAGTACTTTTAGAGTAGGAATAAACTAGAGCATTCTTAAAAATTCGAAATACTCAGTCTCACTGAAGCCACAATGGTGATATATTTCACAATATGATTTTGTCATTACATTTTCTGCACTACCCAGAAGCAAAGTTTTAGCATCTGTGGGATGAAAACAATGCTTGCTTCTTAAACTTATACACAAATTACCTGATGCGATGCTCCCATTAATTCATGATTATTTTCTTAGCAAATTGGTTCCAAAGCTTCTCTAAGATAGGCTAAAAAGAAATACTAATTTATGGTTATTCTAATACTGCTCCACATTTGTGAAATAAACTGTATCTAGAAAGCATGCTCTAGTTACTGATCATAGAACATCCTGCTAAGCTAGGTGTAGAAGAATTCTTTCATACAAGAAGAAAAGGCACACTATAAATCAACATACTAGGTTGAAAATTTGCATGGTTACATATCCAGCATCACGACTGGCTTAAGGAATTCTTTAGCTGAGAGTGGATTCCAGGTGGGCTACAACATCACAGCTTCGAAGTCAGCTTCCTCCTGACTGTACCAGTAATTTTGCCATATGGGTTGTCTGTTGGTAGCAAGACCTGTAGAAAAACCACATTGTAACTTCAGAGACATTAAAATAAAATTCTCCTTTATTCTATGGATCAATATTAAATCAGCAACAAAAAACAACAGCTTGCTAAACAGAAAAATGTACATGTCCTACAATTGAGTTTCTTCAAGCATGGTAATGCCTTATTTTTCTAGAAACAGCTGAGAGATGAGTCAATTTGAAAAAAAATTGGAGTGTTTAGAAAAACTTTAATCATTGGGATATAAATGTCTCTCAAATGCATTACATATCCCTGCCTTTTAAATAGTGTAGTGAACATAACTTGGCCTTTGCTTGATGACTCCCTTCGAACATCAGTCACTGTCCAGCGCCGTGACACCGCCCTGCCCTCAGGAGCATCTGAGGTCTGTGGGGCTGCTCTCCTGGCGCTAAGTGGCTCCAGACAGCGGTGCGTTTTGGGGTTCTTCTTCCCACCCTGTCATTTGCCACTTCCCTGCTGTTGTGAGTGTGTCCTGACTCCCTGCCTCTCCTGTGTTGCCTTCACTTTAGACACGCCTGCTGGGTGAGGGCCTGACAGTGGCGCCAGCCATCCCCGAAGGGCAGGCTCAGGCGCAGCGGACAAGACCCTCCGCCCTCTGCCGGTGGGGGCGGGGCGGGGCGGGGCGGGGCCGGACCGGGCGGGTGGGTCAGAACCGAGCACTGCTCCAGTCCTGATGCCCAAGATTTTTTCTGTTTGGGACACATTTGTTTCACCGTTGGTGAACACGGCCAGGATTACTTTTAGGTTCCTCTCCTTTAAAAAGCAATCATTAAAAAAAGTCCTTACATCCTAACTAATGGCATCCTGACAATAAACGTCCTCCCCTTCCTTTCCCACGTGGGATCAGCGTTGCTCGCCTCCGCAGCTCAGGGCTCTGTAGCAGTGACGGCAGGCAGCGAAGCCTGACTTTGTTTCCCAGCTCTGCTTCTCGGCCTCCACGACAGCTGGGGTGGTGCACAGCCCGGTGAAGCCGCCAACATAATTTGCAGCTCAGAGAAACAGGCGCCTGGCCAGAAGGGTCATGACTAATATGGCTGCTGAGTCGGGGAGGGCGGGTCCCAGAACGTAGTATCTTCTGGTCTCTCCTTCATTGGTCTTTGTTCACCAAAGGATGTGATTCTGTGGCAGCAGAGCCGTGTTAATAGATGGCCCCTCCCTATGTCATTCCTTCCACACACTAAAAGAAGCTACCAAAATAGTTTTTTCATATTCTAGAAGCCTGTGGAAGGATGGATCAAATAAAGAAAGCCTGCAGTTCTGAAAGTGGTCCAAAAGGGGAGGGGCCGTTCTCATCTCCCAGGACCGGCTATAACAGGCTCCCTGTCGGGACCTTAGGTTGTCCAGTCAGACACACTGACTTGGTTTAACCGTCTGCCAGGATTTAAAATAAGCCAGGGTAAGCATTTTTGCCAAGACTAGGTTTCTTTTCAAAAACTGAATTTCCCCATCTAGCCTTCTGTAATTGCAAGTAGAAAAACAAATACGCTTTCATCTTTTTTGTGTATATTGTATGCTACTGAATTGACTGTTTAATCAAGAGTTAGAGACGATGGACGAAATGAAAATAGAGCCTTTTTTTTTTTCTCTCTCTCTCCTCATCACTTTGTGATGGGGCAATAATGAAGCTGTGACCTTGTGTGGCACTTTTCAGAGAAGGCGATCTCAGAGCTGCTCCTCAGGCACAGTCTGTTCCTTCTCTGTCCTTCACTTTCTGGGATGCTCAACCCTTCTCTGTAATCACTCATCCATGTCCAGGGTACTCCAGCCTCCAACATCGAGAGGCCCTGAGTCTGAGGGCTGTATAGTTGGTGGTAACTATAAATATTCCAAAAGCAGCAGCTCTAAAGAGATTTGGTCGGTGATGTTATCATCCCAAGTTTATAAAGAGGGGTGGAGAGAGGGTAGATGTGCTTTAAGGGTTTTTAAAGTTCTTACCTCGTCCTTGTTGATCAGTCCCATTTTAGACATGTCTATGTTAAAGTAATGAATATTTGGCAGGCTGATTTCCATGTCTTCTATCTGGAATCCACAATAATATACACATCACATTGGGCAACTGTGAATCTATCTACCTGCTACTTCCCTCCTTCCCCCACAAACCCAACCTCTGCTGTTCTTCTACTGCCCAACAATGTTCTCACCTCCTGCTCCTATTATTAGATGGCAGACCCACTCTACTCCTCTCCATGTACAAACCCTGCTTCTCAGAAAATCAAGAGTTTCTTGGGTCAGAAACCCAGGAGACTGCTTCAGCATCTCACTGGCCTCCTCGGGCCGGACAGTCAACCTCCTAAATTTCTCCTCATTCCCCTCCCACCTCTCCAGACCTTTCCTTAACATTTCTGGGTCCTGTGGTAGGAGTATAATTGGAGGCCCACGTACCAGATGTCTAAAGATTTAAGAGTTATAAATCAAGCTAAAAAACTTTAATGTGAAATATGTTCTATCCTTCTAACTTGGTAAATATACCTTCATAACAACCTGGAAGGCTAGGATTTAATTTAAAATCCTCTGACTCTTTCAAGGGCTATGCCAGGACATGGTAGTGTGGGAAGAGTGAGTGGCCTTTCCATCTTCTTTCTTGTACTCAGGTGGGCGGACACCCCAGCTTGCATATCAAGCCCCATTCACGCCTCCTGCAAACATCTAACTTGTTCACTCTCAGGCCTAAGGGTGCACACATGGATGGCGTGATCTGCCCTCCAGGAGATGGTTCTAGGGAAGAGGCTTGTTTAGGTTCTGGAATTAGTCTCAGGATTATTTTGGCAGGAAATTCTGGATTACCAGTATCCAGAGATTGCTCTAGAGGGAATGCGCAGGCTTCTGAAGGTTTGGTTTTTGTTGTTGTTGTTGTTGTTTTTGTCTTGGTCTCACTGACTTTTCATTCAGTGGAGGGAAGCACAGCCAGAGGAGGGCCTGAAGCGGGCCTCCAAAGTGCTGGCTAGGGTGGGAGTCCCTGTTGCCTAGGTCTAAGGGCAGTGTTCTTCCTGTCTATCCCTCTATGGCCTCAGTTCAGGCCCATGTTTCAGGTTTCTGCAACAGCATCTCAATAGTTTTCCTTGTCTGAAATCTATTGTCCTTTCAGAGTGATCTTTCTGGAATGCAAATCTGGTGGCACCATACCCTGCTTAAACCCCTGAGTGGCTCCGAAGACCTTTCAGGATAAAGTGCAGGCTGTGAAGGAGACCACAAAGACCCTCCGGATCTAGCTCCTGCCTCATCTCTAGGCACGTGGCAAAATGTTCACTTGTGGAGCTTCGCACAGAGCGGCCCCTCAACAGGAAACGACTGTTCCATGCTGCCTCCTGTTTCCATAGCTACTCTGCTCCCTCACTTCTGAGTGTGAACCCAGATAAACCCCACTTGTCCCTGACGACTCAACTCAAACACCTCTCCTTCTAGAAGGCCTGGCCGGCACGATCCCCTGTACCTGAGTTACCTCCCTTGCTCTGAATTTCCATAATACTCTCTTCTTTATTGTGTTGTTAGCTTACTTATTTCCTCCTCCGATTGAATAAGGAGATCTTTGGGGATAAGAATCATGTCTAATTTATCTTTGTTTTCCTCATGTTTTGACAGAGGCATAATAACCATCAATAATATCAAATAGGTGGATGGATGGATTATGTGGATAGAGTCTCTCGGAATCTATCCTTCATTCTCTGTATCTCCTGAAACATAGATTGTTGGTCTAATTCTCTCTCCTTCGGAGCATACGAATGTCCTGAATATGAGGCTTAAATTGTGGCAGGTTGAAGAAACTCAAAGAATTTTCAGCAAAACTAAAGAACTATAGCAGTAGCCTGTGTTTTCAGGTTGGACAGATTTTTCCATTTTTTGCTCTCTTCTCACTTGCTATAACAAGCTTTTGAACAACAGATGTCATTTTTCATGTGTCTTCCACTTTCTTATTTTAACTCAACCCTCTCTCAGAGCTGACAGGAGACACAAGTTCTCTCCGTTCATGGAATGGCAAGTGAGGAAACGTACCTCAGGAATCTGGCTCAGGGAGAGCACCTGGATGTCATAGAGGGTCTTCTGGACAGAGGGCGAGTACTCGCCTTTGTCATAGGGCCCAGCAAATTTCTCCAGGACAAGGTCCCGAACAGTGTCCCTAAAACAGAAAAAAGAGAACTGGAGACTCATAGGGCGGTGTTTAGGAATGTATGTAAAGCTAAGAAAGAGTGACCTTCCTGTCCCTTGGAAAACAATTTTATTGTTGATTTTAGAAGAGATTAATACCTTGTAATACTAAAAAACTCACTTTCCATTCCCTTACACATACACACCATTCAAGAAACATGTTGAGCATCACTAGGCTAGATTCCTAATCTGGCACCAGGGCCCAGTGAGAATTCCGGGGTAAATCTTCTTCCACGTTTGAAGAGCCTACGAAGAGAACTCTCAGGTACCCCAGCTCTGCTTGACTGATTCCTTGAATTTTGACATTTTAGGGGCGTTTTCTCTGTGTTGAATATTGTATGTGATTACTTCATTGAGCTCTCTCAATATACCTGAAGCAGATACTACTATTATCCCCAACTAAAAGATGAGGAATCTGAGCTGAAAAATTAAATGTTCCCCTGTAAGTCCTTCTCTTTAGTGGGAGGCCCAGATAGGGCCTTGGCTCTGGCATGTTCAATGTTGTGCTCTTTTCAACATTAACACATCAGGCCACTGCCCATGGGAAACACTTGAAATAAAAAAGGAAAAATAAGACTGAGGTGAGGTTCTCTTTAAGCACTTCTCAACCTGTCACATAATCAAAGGAGCAGAACAAAGCTGTATGAATAGCAATAAGCTGCCAGCGGGCAGGCTCCAGCCTGTCATACAGTAGAAGTCTCTAACAGTTAGAGCTGCAGCAAAGAAACAAGATGCCTGGTCAAAAAGTAAACTCGGGGAGTTCAGAAACCTAATTACTGCTTGTAAGGATATTATAATAATAATCATATCTTTATATTGTTGCGACCTTTCTCATGTACAAAGTGCTTTGGTGAATGTTATCTCATTTTGAGTTTAATCTAGGGTAACAAAAGTGTCACAGTTTTCCTGGGACTAAGGGGTTTCCTGGGGTCATGGGACTTTCAGTGTTAAAATCAGGAAAGTCCTTGACAGACTGGAACAAGTTGTTCACACTAGTTTAGCTCTTTCTGCATCTGCAATGAGGGTAAATATCGTTATCCTCACTTGATACAGAGGTTCTTACCATGTGGCTCCTGATCCAGCAGTATCAGCATCACCTAGGAATTTGTTAATGCAAGTTCTTGGGCCTTGCCCCAGACCTACAGAGTCAGAATTTGGGGGGATGGGTCCAGTGCCATGCATTCTAACAAGACTTTCATGCAATTCTGATAACACAATAATGTTAGAGAACTACTGATTTAATCAATTAAAAGCAGAAGGTCATGGAAATTAGGTGGTCCATTCAATGTCATTATTGCTAATAGTGTTTGAGATTCAAGGGCAGATTTATTAACTCAAAGTAAGACCATTGGCTTTCTGTTGTCCAATAGAAAGGATTTTGGACAGTAGGGAAATTGAACTGAATGGTCTCCAAGTTTCTCTTTCGAATCATAGACCTCATGAACTTCAGGCCCCAGGGATACAGGCAGATGCTACTTGTCCCAGCACCAGGCCCTAGCACATGCTCATACCAGGTAGCATCAAAGTCCACATCTCTGCATTGGTGGTAGCGCCACTTGCAGTACACTTGGGTGGCAAAGCATCGGTCCTTCACCTCAGGGAGGGTGGTGAATTGGTCCTTAATGAATCCTTCAAATCCAGACTGGGTTGTTTTCAAGACCTTGAGGTCTTTGATTCCAGAATGAATGACCGGAGGTCCTGTTTTAAGTACAAAGATAAGTAGGGAGGGTGTCACAAAACAGTGCCTTCTTACTGATACCTAGCTAAGAGTATCCTGGTCATTAAAACATGACACACCATGCTTATCCAGAGAACTACGTCACTGTCACTGTTTTCTGACTCCCAGAGGCCTCTGAAGTCCAAATGATGAGGATGACATCCCTTTCTCTCTATCTGGATTCCGTGACTCCCTGCCCTCTCCTGCGCTTGGAGAACTGAAGGTCAGAGAATACACCTCCATGTTGTGTCGAAGCCTGCAGAAACGAATACCATCCCCTCAGCTACACTTAGAGTTGTCTTCTAGGCCAAATACCTTCCAATTTTTGAGTTGCATCTCATTCAACAGACAATTGTGCTGAAATGACTTAATAAGCTTCTGCAGAGCAGTTCTGTCTGCTGCTGTGACTCCTTTGTAGGGGTAGTCCTGATGTTGATTGCCTATACTGACCTATGGCTCCCATCACCACCAGGTCCCCCGCTCCCTTGTGTTATGAGCTCAGCAAAATCAAACAACTTCATGAATGAACAACAGTGTAAGCCTGACTGAACCTAAATAGAGACTGAGAAGATGAGGCTGATGACACAAAAGGCATAGATGTGCCCGAGTGGGTTCCCATTAAGGCTTTTATTTTTGGCTGAAGGAGAAGGGACAAAGTTGGTTCATGGTGACCTGGGAGAGAGAAGGCAGAGCTGAAAACAATGCAGGGGATGATACGGCTTTCCTGCACCCCACATGTCTCTCTGTGAGGTGAATGGGAGAGGCAGAAGGGTGACAGGCATAATCTGAATAAGCCGTTGACTTATGTGCCAGGTAGTTTGAGTACAGGGCTCAGGGAGCATGTGGAGCACAGACTTAGTGAGGGGACAATTATCTTTTTCTTTGTGGAACATCCCATAGCTCCAACAGTTTGGTGGAGCCTGCAGAGAACACGGCACCAGGTGACACACTGAGAAGCCCTCCACCCCACACCAGGGTGCAGAGCTCGGTGGGGAACATCATTCTTCCCGAGGAGCAGTGATAACTGGTGCAGCTAATGCTGAGCAGGGCCAGCGAGGCAGAAGCTGTACCCAATGGTACCAACTTCTCCTCAAGCACATGAGACAGACCCTCAGGCTGCCAGAACATGGGGAAGTTTGCCTGGAGAGGACCAGAAGTTTTGTAATGACAGAGTTACAAGGCCAGGAAAATTCAGGAATCAACATCAGTATGGTCTGAACGTTCAGGGGGCACATTGGCACACCCCCCCAATAGCACAGTGCCATGGCAGGATGACTAAGGTCTCCTCTTTTCAGGCTTGAAGTTAATCCTCATTAATATCTAACCTTCCTGGCCTGCTTAGCACATAAATCAAGGGACACAAATGTCAGGCATCACTATGTTTTACATGGTCTTAGTGGAAGAATAAGAACATAATTCATGATCCTCAATTACAGTCCAAGGCAGCTCTTAATAATTTAATGGCTTACATCATGTGTGTGGTTTCAATTGCTGTGGTTAATTCAGGAGCTGTGTTGTTTTCAGAAGCTGATAAATGGTGACTGCATTTTGATATTTTCCTGGCCGTGTGTGTGCATCTACCAGAGAGGGCACTGGCCAGTGGTTAGCAGTAGATCTGCTGATTAAATATGTACTAATTAAATAAGGTGTTCTGGCAAGAGTGTTCCAGGATAATGCAGTAAAACTAAAAGTGATATTTCTTTAACACTCCAAGTTCTCATTGGAAGCTATATATGCAAAAGAATCAAGAGAACGACACCAGCAACGCCTTGATACTTTTAAGTTGGGCAGGTTTATCAGATTCTAGGTGTATGCAGACATGGTTCTGAAAAATCAGCATTTCTAAATGCTAGTCCAAGTGAGTCTAAGTCTCAAATCCAAGAGATTGCAGAAGTAATCAACAAGGATCTGTTGAATCAACCAGTGATTGAGTGAGTGCAACAAGACCGATTCACATCAAGAAATAAGTACCTCACAACTTAGTCTCTTTGCCTTCTAGACAGTTCTCCTCCATCAGTCTTTACGATTTCTCTTCCTGACTACCCCACCCACAACTCTGACACATAGCGTGGCATGGGGAGAGGAGAGGGCATCAACATTCGCTAAGAATGCCTTCACTATCAGCATGGGTTTAGTTGCGGCCTTTTTCAGTCTTTATCTTACGTGATCTCACAACTCTATTACATAAGTACTGTATTAGGGGACTTCTAATCATTTGCCCATAGTCACATGGCTAGGAACTGGCAGAGGTGGAGGTTGAAATCAGTCCCCATTGTGAAAGTCGATGCTTCTTCTCCTCCTTTTTGGGTCACTCCCATCCACACAAACTTTTTTTTTCTCTTCCTTTAACTCTCTTCATTTCTTTACAAAAAGAGGCCTTTCTAGGAGATAAGAAGGTTGCCACTTCCCATTTAATAGTCTGCTTTGTGTGCCTCATAAAGAGCTCCCAGACTGAACAATACCATCTCCACTGGTCTGAAATGGAAACATCACTTTTAGACGCGACCCTTACGTATCTTGAAAACCTTTTATTCCTTAAAAATTTCCTATTGAAATATAAAGGCCCCATTAAAGAACTGACTCCTAAAACCTTCATAAACTAATATCGTAATCTATTTCCAGCAGTAATTCCTTTCTCAAAAAATCCTGTAGAAATGAAAACCGGGTTTGCAATTGGGAGTAGGGTTAAAACAGAAGTGGGAACCCTTGAAGGGGGACAAAGAGAGCGAAAGGAAAACCAAAGGCAAATGTTACCTAGTGCATCTTTTCTGAGGTAGCTGGCCTTGACCGCCAGTGCCCACGTAAGCCAAGAAAAAGACTTTGGCTCCTCCAGGGGTCTTAATCAGAAGAGGATTTTTTGATACATTGTTCCATGGTGGTTGAACCCACAGCCTTGGGCCACAGATTCCCTAAATTCAAATCTCTGAGCTCTCCATGACTCTTCTCCCCAATTTATGAGCACTAGTCCTCTGAAAAATTACTTAACCTTTTTCTCCCTTGATTTCCTCATCTGTCCAATGGAGATGATGACCATACCTTTTTCCTAGAGTTGATAGGTATCTAAGATAATACATGTAAACGACTTAGTAGGATGTCTGAAACATAGAAAATGCTCTATAAAGGTTTTCATGATTTTGCCATAACTGACTTTTTTTTAAAGAACTTCAACCACCTGTAAATATTTCCTATGTTTCACAAAGGCCCATTGTGTTCCGAAAACTACTGCTGATGTGCCGTCACAGCCATCCCCGGCCCCCGGAAGGGATTTATTGATCTTCCGGAGTGTCACTCCTGCTGGGCAACTTTGAAATAATCTATTTTCTTGCTAGAATTTGAAAATGGAGAAAGTAGTTGCATTTTTAAATGTGTTTTGACCTCAGTTTCACACAGAATAAAGTGCCTCATGTACCCAAAGACAGTTAACGATTTGCCACAGTTTGGGCAGGACGTAAACCATCTCCTCTGGTATCCTCACCATTTTATGAGCAAAAACAACAACAGAAAGTACCTATTCTCTCTGAATGTGAATTTTCTCCCTTGGCACACGTTAGACTCTGAATAAAATCAGAGAGCTTATTTTATCTCCTCTGCTGGCGGTGCCCCAGCTTTCAGAGTGCTGGTAGAAACCTGAGCCTTTCAAATTTACGGACCCATCAACTAAAAATAGGATGCCTCACACATTCTAAAAAAGATTCCAATTTAGACCAATAAGAAATAATTCAACCAAAAAGACTGTCCTTTTCTAGATTACTTCCCATTAAATCACTTAATCAGTTTTTTTCTTGCCTTTCTGCCATGATTATAAAGTAATGCAAAAGGAAGATTTTCACATCTCACTGTGTTAGAATATAATCTTTTCTAGCTTTTAGTGTCCTCCTACACACTTAACAGATTGTGGTCTATCTCTCAGAGAAGCATACATCCTGCCCTTTAGTTCTCCAAGGGAAAGAAACTCACTGCGAATTAATAGAAAATAAGCCCAATTCCTTACCTACGCATCAGGTGTCACAAAGCACAAAGCTTTACTGAACCAAGAAAAAAAATCCTGTCATTAAGAGGATAATTGCTTCCACATTTAACACCTTCAAAAAGGACACAAATAGCTAAAAGCAGAATATTTTAAAACTGTATTAAATCACTCTAGTAGAAAACCTCAAACTTGTAAAGTGCTAGAAGTGAAGATCAATTAAATATCATTTGCCTTTGAGAGTCCATTTAGCTCATTTAGCAGGGAGAGCAAAAGTTCCCTGGTGCAATTCTGGATCCGGAAAGATGACATCATCCAGAAAGAAGGAAGTTTACTGGGCTTTTGTACAACTAGGTGATAATCAAGATGATTTCAAAAGACCTTGGTTTTGCCAAGAACTCTTCTGTGGGAGGAACTAAAGAGCACTTTGGTCTTGATATCTAAAGGACATAAACTGCCCTCTTCGCAGTGGCCGTCTCTGTCCTGCGTCTCATTTACTCCATCTCACTTCTACAGTCTGACCCAGCTTGACATCTCTTAAATCTATTTTCCTCTAGGACTTCAATGTCATTATCTGTTCCTTAAAACCATCCTCCTACTCCCACTAGTTTCCAGGGGTTTTTTTTTCCCCCTGTTATTTTTATTATCTTTTGAAATCACATATCTGAGCATGTTACTTCCTTTAAAATATTTCAGTGACTCCAACTGTCTGTTAGATCAAATCTCAGTTCTTCAACATGACATTCAAGGCATTTTTTTTTTTGCTATTACAATTGTCCCATTTTTTTCCTCCCTTTTCTTCCCCTCTACCCTGCACCCCCCTCCCACCAGCATTCCCCCTCCCCCGCCCCCTTCGTTCATATCCATGGGTTGTACATATAAATTCTTTGGCTTCTCCTTTTCCTATACTATTCTTAACCTCTCCCTGCCTATTTTGTGCCTACTATTTATGCTGCTTATTCCCTGCACCTTTCCCTCCATTCTTCCCTGCTCCCCCTACCCTCTGATCTCCATTTCTGTGGTTCTGTGCCCATTCTAGTTTGCTTAGTTTGTTTTTGTTTTTGTTTCAGGTTCACTTGTTGATAGTTATGAGTTTGTTGTCATTTTACTGTTCATAGTTTTTGATCTTCTTTTTCTTAGATAAGTCCCTTTAACATTTCATATCATAAGGGCTTAGTGATGATGAACTCCTTTAACTTGACTTTATCTGGGAAGCACTTTATCTGCCCTTCCATTTTAAATGATAGCTTTGCTGGATAGAGTGATCTTGGATGTAGGTCCTTTTCTTTCATGACTTTGAGTACTTCTTTCCAGCCCCTTCTTGCCTGCAAGGTTTCTTTGGAAAAATCAGCTAATAGTTTTATGGGGACTCCTTTGTAGGTAACTGTCTCCTTGTCTCTTGCTGCTTTTAAGGTTCTCTCCTTATCGTTAATATTGGGTAATGTAATTATGATGTGCCTTCGTGTGTGCTTCCTTGGGTCCAACTTCTTTGGGACTCTCAGAGCTTCTTGAATCTCCTGGAAGTCTATTTCTTTCGCTAGATTGGGTAAGTTCTCCTTCATTATTTTTTCAAATAAGTTTTCAATTTCTTGCTCTTCCTCTTCTCCTTCTAGCACCCCAATGATTCGAATGTTGGAACGTTTAAAGTTGTCCCAGAAGTTCCTAAGCCTCTCCTCATTTTTTTTTGAATTCTCTTTTCTTCATTCTGTTTTGACTGAATGTTTCTCTTCCTTCTGCTCCAAATCATTGATTTGAGTCCTGGTTTCCTTCCCTTTACTGTTGGTTCCCTGTATATTTTTCTTTATTTCACTTTGGGTAGCTTTCACTTTTTCCTCCATTTTGCGACCATATTCAAGTAATTAATGAGCATCCAGATTACCAGTGTTTTGAACTGTGCATCTGATAGGTTGGCTATCTGTTCATTGCTTAGTTCTATTTTTGGAGCTTTATCTGTTGTTTCATTTGGGCCATATTTCTTTGTCTCAGCAACCTGCTAAATTGGGAGTGGCAGAGCCTTAGGTATTAGTCAGAGCAGGGCAACCCAGCTCGCTGCGTTGTGACGCTGCGTGTGGGGGAGGGGTCGGAGAGGAAACAATGCCACTTTCTCGGTTCTCCGCTGGTTTTAATCACTTCACCCTCTACCCACAAGCAGATTTGGCCCTTCTGGTGCTGATTCCTGCGTGGGCGGGTTTGTGTACTTTCTAGGACCCCCTGGGTGTCTCCAACGGACACTCCTGTGAGGCTGGGAGTTTCTCCTGTTGCCACATCCCCCACAGGGGGGTTTTTACATCCAGAGGTTTTGAGGCTTTCTTTTCCCGCACTGGAACCCTGGATTGGGTGGTCTGTCTCACCCCCCAGTTTTTCCTCCCAGTTTATCTGTACACAAATCTGGGGCCGCCCCGTCTGCCAGCCACTACCTTCCTGCATGTCCTCTCTGCCCAGCTGCCTGTCTCCACCCCTCCTACCAGTCTTGATGTTTCTTCTTTAGCTCCTTGGTTGTCAGACTTCCATACAGTTCAATTTTCTGGCAGTTGTGGAGTTCTGGTTACCTTTTGTTTTTAAATTTGTTGTTGTCCTTTCTTTGGTTGTGCAAGGAGGCAAAGTGTATCTACCTATGCCTCCATCTTGTCTGGAAGTCTTAGTTTCTATGTTAATAGATTTTTTTTTTTACTACCATAAGACAGTCCTGCTTAGTTGAGATCTTTTCTCGATCTTCCATTCCTCTACTTAGCTATGAGTTTTTATAATTGGTGTCAGATTTGAAAAAATTTGATGAGTTATAATTCAAATAATACAGAAGTTTGGGGTCCAATAGAGTTCAAAATATAATTCAAGGTGACTTCAAGGCTTGGCTAAGCTTGTAGTTCACAGAGACTGAAAGAAAGAGTTTGGAAGGTCCAGCTCCCAGATAACACCTAAACCAACAGCCTGCATCACACACAGAGAGCCTAGCTCTCCTCTCAGAGCTTGGGAAGTCACAAACATATTTTGTGATGAACAAATTTCTTTGGATGAACAAATTTATTCCTCTCTTCCAGATTCTCCCATAGAATTAGCAGACTTTGAGACAGATAAAAGTACATTAAATAATGCAATAGGAGTTTTACAGCAATTCTGAGGACCTAAAATGATGTTTGAGATTCAATAGGCTTTCTATAAATGTTTGCTCAATTGATAAAAATAAATCCAATTCACTAGGAAAAAGCATTACATGTTCTGCTGGAAAAAGTCCTGTTTGGGTGTTGCATGGATGAATGTGTGATTAAGTGCATGTGTTTAAAGGGGCAGAATTCTCACCAATCAAGCCAGCCTCCCACCCAAATCCCTTCTTAGATGTCTGTAATAACAGTCTTCACCTTGTGGACTGGTGTGTGTAAAATAATGATTATTTTCTTCAATTAAGCCTATGCAAGAGAATTGCTTATACTCACAGTTTCAGCTCTTAGATAATAAGCACGTGAATTCAACTTTGCTGCCCAAAGAGCACGGATCCCTACTCTCCAAAGAGGTGCAGAGCACAAATATCATCTTCACACACAGCACTGGACGATATATACACTCGTATATGTGTGCACATACATACTGCCCACCCTTAAGGCAACAGATGTTTCTTGTCCTACCCTGGTCCCTGCCAGCCCCACAGGATATCAGAGGGATGCTGGATTCTAGGTGAGTCAAGCTGGAGCTTCTGGGAACACTGCCACAATGATTGCAATTCCCTGAAGCTTTGCAGCTTTCTGCAGAAAGAAAAAAGCTTTGTTCTGATTATGGTGACTAGTTTTTCCACCCTGCCACAGCCAGCTGACTACAGTTCAGGCTGATGATAGCTCTTGGAAATTCCTGGAAAGAACAAGAGTGTAAACAGCAGCCAGTTTTCTTATTATGATCAGGAGAGTCCTACCCTTGGTCTCTCTACTTCCACTACCAGGGCTCTGCTAAAATATTCATGTGGAAGTCACTAGTCACCTATTTGTCAAACTACACAGTTTCTCTTCAGTCTTCTTTTGACTCAAACTTCTTAACCTTCCTTGGCAGAGACTGCTAGCTGTTCGCTAAATCTATTTCGTCTTCTTCCTGGGTACTTGATTAGACTACATTTCCCAACATTCCTTGCAGTTAAGGTGAGGCTGTGTGATTGGATTCTCTCCAGAAGTGCTATGTGCTACTTTCAGGCGTGGTGTTGTTGTAGTTACGTTGCACAGTTAATTCTTAAATTTTTTTTGGTAAATAGAATTATATGCATGTAAGTGTCATTGCTGTTTGAAGTGAGGTTTATTTTATAGTAATGATATCAGTAGTTTTTTTTACTATGCAAATGAAATGTCAGGAAAACTTGATTGTATTCACTAGATATTTCCTTGGAAGGTTATTATAATTAAAGCATGGTATGGTACTAAAAGTACTGGTCAGAAAGTTCAGAGATTTGGGCTTTTTGTCTGCCTGGGTCTTTTTTCTCTTACCTCAAAACTGGGTAATAAAAATTATCTACTCTGCTTAACTCCTAGATTTGTTGCAAAAAGTGTTATTTCATTTTTTATACTTTTAAAATAAAAAGTAGATTTTTAAAAAAGGGAATCCATAGTCGCAGTGCCATTCCCATTTCAGGCTTAAAAGCCTTCAGTATTTTCTACAGTTTTCCTGTACAGAGTAGTTTAGAAGAAGAAAACCTGAAATTGCTAAAGCAAATCAAAGCATGAAAAATATTTTCTTACCACTCCTCATCTGCTCAACCTCGCAGAAGTGGGTTCCAGTGGGAGTGTGAATAAATGCATGGACATGCTTAACGCCATTCTGAAAATTAGAAAAAAACATTGCTTCTGTAAAAATTCAGCATATGTCACAAAGCCAATTTCTTTAATTAAACTAAGGACACAAATAAATGAAGCAACCTTTTCTAAACGCTTCCAAGGGACTTCTTCCACGTAGACTTGAGCTCTGATGACATGGTTAAAAGAGGAAAGGAAATGCTCACAGATATCCATAGCAAAAGTTTCTATGCTTTTGATCTGTAAAAACAAACAAAATGCTAGTGATCAGGAATACTTGCCCCACTTAAAAATAGTTGTTACTATCCCTGGTGCTCTCTTTTCTGATCAAGTGCTTTCTAAAGTCAGAGAAACATAGAAAAATTCTTAAGAGATGAATTCATTGTTATTTCAATTTTTCACAAGGACTCCTAAGGGTAGTTAATAAAGCACCATCATCCAATGAGACTATCCTGTTTTTAAAAGAAACCTGTTTTGTAGGAGATGTGTCAATCAGTGGATAAGTGCAAAGTAACCTAACATTCAGATGCTCCTCACGGTGAGCTGAGGCATTACTTCCACTGACTACAGTGCTACAGTGTACTCCAAAACACTCTGGTCTCTTTATGAGGTTGGCAAATAAGCCTCCTGGTTTTCTAAGGAAAAATGTTAATGAAGGGCCACTTCAGCTTTCTTGCCTTGCAAACAGGCCTTCTATTGACCATCCTCAGCTCTCCACCCCCATAAAGCTGTTCCCTAATTCCAAACACATTCCCCATATTAATCTCTGGGCAATATTTTATAGTACTATCATAGCCTACAGATTATTTGTGGCATTGCCTATCATTAAGATGGACTATCTGTACAGATTGTCCCAGGATAGTTCTGGCATTTTTTAAAATTAATTAATTTATTTTTTCAAATACATTTGTCTCTGCCTTCTTCCCACCACTTTCCCTTGCCCCCAGTTCTGACATTTGTAAGACATTTTATATCTGTTGTCCTGATGCTATTAACAAGAATAATTATTAATAGCATCCTATTTCACTCTCAAAAGTGTCCTGGTTTGAGAAATAAAAATACTAACCTGAAAACATATGTGCACTCTCATGTTTATTGCAACATTATTACAGTAGACAAAATATGGAAATAACCTAAGTGTCCATTAATGGATAAATAGATAATGGAATATTATTCAGCCACGAAAAAATGAAATCTTGCCATTTTGCAAAAACATAGATGGAACTTGAGGGCATTAGGCTAAGTGAAATAAATCAAATGTAGAAAGACAAAGGCTGTATGATCTCACTTACATGTGGAATGTAAAACAAACACTAAAACAAAACAAACAAACAAAGCCAAGTTCATAGATACAGAGAACAGATTGGTAGTTGCCAGAGGTGAGGGGTAGGAGGTGAGCAAAACAGTGTCAAATGAATAAAGGGAGTCAAAAGGTACAAATTTTCAGATATAAAAGTCATGGGGCTGTTATATGCAGCATGGAAACTATAGTTAATAAGACTATATTGCTCATTTGAAAGTGGCTAAGAGAGGAAAGCTTAAAAGTTACCACTATAAGAAAAAAAATGTAACTATATGTGGTGATGGGTGTTGACTAGACTTCTTATAACAATCATTTTGCAATGTATACAAAATCAAATCATTGTTCTGTACACATGAAACTAATATGTTGCATGTCAATGATACCTCAATTAAAAAATAAGAAAAAAATTTCCTGGTTTGGATAAAAAAATTATATGGTCATTCTATCTAAAATGAATGAATTGAAATAGTTTTTAACATCCAGATTCATTCCTTTACTTTCCTGTACCTCTCACTCAGTACAGAAAATATAAGAATCTGTTTTACCCAACTTTTTTTAGTGCAGTACAAAAACCCATTTTTAATTTATGTTTTTAAGAGAGCAATGCCTTTTCCGTAGCCATGTCCGTCCTTGCTGGGCCATTCTGATCAGCAAGAGAAGATTCAGGGTGGAAATATGCCTTGCAGAATTTATATTTCAATTATTTTGTTCATTTCATGGGTGTGGATTGCATGCAAAAGCACAAAAAAGGAGTTTTTCCAGTCTACATTTTTTGTCTTCTTAGACTTCCTAGCAAATAAAAAGGTGATCTCGAATTGCCTAGAAATATGCTTGTGGTCCAGCCACAGCTTCACTTACACTCAAAGAAACTGGAGGTCAAAGTGCTAACATATCAGATTCTGTTAGTTCCAAGGCCTTATTTGATGAGTATAATTGTCGCCATTTATGGACACTAAGTGACTATGGAGTGAGAAAATACAGAAGGCATTAAAAGTTGGACAAATAAATTGCAAAATGTATCTTATACTTAAGATTTTCTTCTATAATGACACAAAGAATAAAAATGGCATTTTCTTATATAAATGCAATTTAAAAGAAAAAAATAAATGATAGGACTCAAATAAATGCATGACAAAAATGTGTAATTTCTATTCTGAAACACTCTGAAGTTCTTGATTTGACAATGATCTTAATCAAAAGATAACTAAAAAATTCTTTAGCAGGATTCTTTATCTAAAAGGTATATAAAGAGTTAAGATCCAAGAAAAGAAAACAAAGAGGTGAGTTTAAAAAACAAACAAATGAACAAAAAAAAACAACAACGCCCAAACCTCAAGCTTTTTTGTAAGGCTATGAATTTTAAAATAGAAAAAAAAAATTTAAATGTCTTAAACTTAAAAATAGGGTTAAAAAGCAAAGGGTACTGGAAATAAGCAAGTGATATCATCATGTTATAGAATAGTGAATTCTGCATCAATATTGGCAGCACCTAAAAAGAATAGCAAGCACATACTCCTTTGAACTTTGCCAAGACATGAACTGTGTTCTTGATGGTGTCTGTAGGGATGATGTCTGAATTATCTCCATGCAGATAATCTTTTTTGGAGCTCAGAGTAAGTTGCACCGAAGCTGACACCTCTTTAATGCTCTGATATTTTCCATCTCGCTGAATACGGAGAACTTTTACCATATCCTTCCCATAGCCAGTTCGAACAAACTCCACCTCATCATTCTGCAATGAAAACATAATCATCTTAGTGGGAAAAAGCTAAATGAAAGCAAAAAGTCAACTGCAATTTCTTTAAACCTTAATTTAACCATATACAAGTGCTCAAATAACGTCACATTGTTATAATGTTGATCAGATGCCGTACTAACTTAACCCCTCCCTGTTTATATCCATGAGCCCATGGTAAAACTGATTTCATAATAATGTCGTTTCACTGTCGTTCCAAGAACTTATCAATATTAATGAGGACTTACTATAATTATAAAAGGTGAGAAGCAGAGTATTTATGAAAGCAAGGTCATGTCTTACTGTTGAAGAAGATTGAGAACTTTTAAGGAGAAAAGAGAACAAGTAACAGATGAAACTACATCAAACTGGCCTGAAGACAGGTAGATGGCTTTCTCGATAAAAAGTAACCATAATAACTATACCTTATGGGCCAAACTACTCTGTTTTATTTAATCCCTGCTAACTTAATTCTTATAACAGCTCTGAGAGCTAATATTATACCCATTTTACAGGGGGAGAAACTGAGGTTCAGCGTTTAAGCAGCTTGCCCAACTACACATAACTAGGAAAGGATGGAGCCAAGGAATCACATTCAAGCCTGTTGACTTTAAAAACCACTAAGTAAACTGCTTTTCTTGTGTAATATTTTGACTATGTTAACTGGAAATTATTTCATTCCCTTTTTTATAGAGAGTAATAATCTGGAGAAAATGCCTGTGATCAATAAAAACAATTTGAAAATTGCTTCTTCTCCTTGCTGCCAGGAAGAAGAGTAATTAGTGACAAGGTCCAGATTACCTTCAGGAGTACAGAACCAGGGCCATCTGGCTGCAGTGAAAATTGTGCTTTACCAAAGAGACACAGAATAAAAGCTTGGTGATTGATTCATTAGTACCCTTGTCTGAAGCTGGAGCCCTCACTAGCAAATACGTCCATCTGCACTACTAGGATCCGTGAGACTTGTCCCTGGGCTTTATAACTGTTTGAGAAAAGAGGCAGGAGGGACAGAAAGACCTATTTTACTTAGCATTGAAATTAAACATTAAAACGGTAATGAAAGAAGAGGACAAAAATAAAAATAAATCAAAAACAATATTCAGCGAGACTCTGGGGAAGAGCACAAAGAAGGAAACTCACTTGCAGATTGCACATGCTCAGATACGTCAAGGGCTACCTGAAAGTGTTTGCATAAAAAATCACCAGATACACTGGGAAAAACTGTAAAATTCTAGCCAGCATCAGAAATTGTTGTAATGTTCCTAATCAAGGTAAGGGATGGCAGACTTTCTTAAATCTTGGGGATAGAGTTTAGTAGGGTGTGCTGCATGCTCTAAAGATTTCTGGTGTCTGCATTTGGTCCTTCCTCTGTCGGGGGGAGGACGGACGTATTTAGGGACAACTCTTAAAGAGGCACCTCAAAAGTCTCTGAACCAATCTTTGGGGAACTCATCATCAATAAAAGCATCAATAAGAAAACAGAAAGAGCAGACTCAAGGGACACTAATTGTACTATAACAATAACAGGGGAAGAGGCACTGTTGTGTAGCTACAATGGCTTTGGAATAAGAGTAGGTCCCAATGCTGCCTTGCTACTCATAACTTTGTGTCTTTGAGGCTCTCTAAGCCTCAGCTTTCTTATTTGTACCAATGGAGATCACCACCCCTTCTTGTAGGGTTGTTGGTGAGAGTGAAAGCTCTGGTTCACGTTTCAGTGCCTAGTGGTGCAGTGAGGTCAACCCTAACAATAGTGGTCACATCAGGCCTGGCTTCAGACATAGCAGAGGGGAACCTGAGTAAGGGCACCAGTTTTTGGCATGGAGAGTGCTGGTAGAGCAGAAGGAGAAAGACTCTTACATGCCTTGAGCAACAAGAGGCACTTGGACGGCTTGGGGCCCCTGGAAGGTCGGGGCTGGGATACAGAACCAAAGGGGCTCTGAAATCACCCGTCACCCCCAGTATACAGCAGGACAACAAATATTATTCCTCAGTTCCATCCCCTGCTGCAAAATACTCCAGGTACAGTAGGTTAGTCTGTGAAAGCAAGTGGTCCCTCTGTGATACATATAAAGATGAAATGATAGCCACCCTTCATACCCCCTGCTTACCTGTCCAGCTTTGTGTGTTGCCACAGCCTGTCTCCAACTCCTTCCACTGCCCTGGGCTAACTGTGGCTGTCTAGGCTCTGTGCGTATCGCCTCTAGGCCTTTAGATTTGCCATTCCTTTTTTCTTCAACACTCTTTCTCTTTCTTGCTACCTGACTACCAACCTCTTCACCTGCCTAACTTCTTCTAGCCATCTTTCAAGTTTCGGATGTCACTTCTGCCTGGTAATCTGTCCCAGCCCTTCGGAGCAGGAGTATGTGCGCCTTCCATGTGCTCTCAAAATACTTCTTTCTTATTAGAGTTTTTATCAATTGTATTGCAGTTGCCTTATTTTGTGTCTGATTTGTTCAGGAATGATAAATTATGGAAGCAGGAACAATTTTTATCTTAGTTGTCATGGTAACGCCAGTGCTCCGCACAGTGCCTAGAACATGAATAGGTGCTTAATAAATGTGTCATGAATAAATGAATGGTGCACTACCACCTCTACCCCTTGTGCAATGGCACAGAATAGTTAATGGAAATACCCAAATGAGTTCAATTAAGGAAGTCTGAGCTTCAGCTCAGACCCCAGTCAGGGAGTTTCTCTTCTCAGGAAAGTGGGAAAGGCCCCCTCTTTCTTCTGATCACCATAGCCTGGAGATCACAGCAGGGCTGGCCAGAGAATAAAGGCCCAGGAAGGGTGGAATGGAGTGTAGACAGTCAGCGAGCAGCATAAAGGGTACACATTGCTAACAAGACTGAGTGTTCCCACACAGCGCAGCCATCACAGAGTTTATGCATGCCACACACGAGAGAGGTCAGCGCCCCTTAGCAAGCTGCTGACTTGGCCTTGGCACCCAAACAAAGCTTGTATAATCAAGTTTACTGAGCAATGAGTCAGAATGAAAAGGACACAAGCATCCGAGGCTGGAACAGAATGGAACAAGAACAGGGTGGGACACCGAAGTGTCTCTCAGCAGTACATGACAAAACAGGTAATGGTCTGGACCACAGATGAAGTTGTTCTCTTCAATAAGTCTTCCTCATTTCCATAGTCAGAGAAATCAGAAGTAAGTGCCGGAGCCCTGTTGTGCATAGTGAACAGTGTGGTACAGATATCCACGCCCAAGACCACTACACAGTGAAATGCAAAGGTCGTTCTCATCTGGTGCACGGACAGAGGGCTGAGAGTATAGGCTCTGGAGTCACACAGGCCAGGTGTGGATCTTTGTTCTGCCACCTAGTAACTCTGTGAATGGAGGCAAATTTCTCTCTATATAAAATGGGAATAATACTAGTGCCCAGCCCTGGCCAGTGTGGCTCAGTTGGTAGGGCATCGTTCCACAAAGTGAAGGGTCGCTGGTTTGATTCCCAGTAGGAGCACGTGCCTGGGTTGTGGGTTTGGCCCTGGTTGGGGTGTGTATGAGAGGCATCCAATCAATGTTTCTCTTTCACGTTGCTGTTTCTCTCCCTCTCTTTCTCCTTCCCTTCCTCTCTCTCTAAAATAATATAAATAGAATCTTTTTTAAAAAGTAGTAGTGACTACCTCCCAGGATTGCTGTGAAGATTACTTAAGAAAAAACATAAAGTTCTTAGAAAAATGTCTGGCAAATTGTAAGTGTTCAATAAATGTTAGCAATAATTATCATTGATAAATAATAATTCTATGTCAAATTTTGCATCAAAGGGGCCTTCTTGTTACTGGTAGCAATAAACGCCCAGACTGTACACCAATCCAGAGCCACGGTGGCAAAAATCAAAGACTGCTGCTAAAGTGAAGCCTACTTCAGCCTTCATACTTTTGGTGTCCTTCCCAGGCTTGTGTGGCTTGAGGACATGGTTACAAAAAGATATTCAGTTGCGTAGAATAAAACTCAAAAGAAAAATTCCTTTTTCTTAAACATGTTCTGAAATATAAAGGCACGAATGATCACTATTTGCCCACAGTAATGTTGGAGAAAACTCAGAGATTTTTCAACAAATCTTATAAAGTTTTGCTTCTGTGATGAGACTGTGAATGTTCTCTTTTTCCATATTGAAAGTGATGTAGCTTGTCAGTGCAGGTCTAAGGTTCCTTAGCTTGGAGCCTGTTAACCTCTACAAGGCCAAGTGGATGGATCTGAGGCAGAAAAATATCAGGAAAGACAAGAGAAAGCTTTTGCAAATTTAAATTTAAAAGTAACTGGCCTTTTATCACATGTCTTATAAGAGTATCTCTACCCTCTATAACAGAGAGGGATATGAAGTGCTAGTTATGTAGGACCCATCGCCGAAGTGTAAATCTCAATTCCGCCGCAGTGTGCTGTCGCAGGTGGGAGGACTATGCACGGAGACAGCTTCTCTCATTCTCTGGAATATTCTCTGGAACGCCAGAAAAATTCTTCCAATTCTCTGCCCAGGTTTTTCCCTTGCCTGGCTATTTTCTTGCACATTGGTGAACAAAACGACTTCAGAGAAAAATGCTGAGCTAACATAAGAAAAAGGAGCACTCGAATGAACAGTATTAATATCACTTAGGTGAATTTTAACAATATGGGACAATAAGAATAGTAATGATGAATAACAGCCTTAGAAGCAGCTGGTATTTTTTCGGTTGCCTAGGATCTACTAAATGTCAGATGGAAAAAATATTGATATCTAATAGAAAATGTCATGTTGCTTTAGGCTGTGGAGTAGTTTATTTTCACTATCAAGAGGGGCTGTGCCCTGAGTTATGTTCAAAGGGTAACTCTAAAGGGATTTGTCAAGTAGATGTTTCAAGAACAGTTACTTAATGGAGACTCCATTTACATGTGCTCAGTTATTTTCATACTTCTGCCTGTTAAAAAAAAAAAGTCATCACTAAATGCCAGGGGAGATGCTAATTTTCTTGCCAGCATCTCCACAGCACCAACAACCAGAGGGTAGGAAACTGGAACAAGGCCCCGAGGAGCCTCTAGAATGGGGGAGGGGAGGGCAGGAAACCCCACGGCAGAGAATTGATGAAGACCTCCAAAAGGGCAGTTGGAAGACAATTTTACTGAAATGCATACCCAATATCTCTTTCCTAATGTATAAATCTTACAACTAAAAATAATAGTAGCAACTCTTTAGTGAGGGTTTGACATGTGTCAGGAAATTTGCACATATTGCTCCATCTAGTTCTTCACTAAAACCCTGTGAGGTAGGTATATCATCCAAGTCTGACAAAGGAAGACACTAGACTCATCTAGTAACTGCCACGGTCACACAGTTACCAGGTGACAGAGGCGGGCAGAGAATGGAGCCCATTTGGCCCAAGATGACATGCTCTTTCCCGCTACATCAGAGTCCCACATCCCCTGAAAGCAAGCCTTTCCACTCATTAGGGACAGAAATATAAGCCACCTGACCCCAACAGAAGGAGGTTTTCTGCCATGCTATTGCAAAAACCTCTATTTCTCCACCATTTTAAAGTTTTCCACCCATTGAGAACTATGTTGTCTATTCTGCACAAAAACCTGGTGACTTGATATAAAGACTGCCTATTTTAAAAATAAACTAGCTCAAGTAAACAAACAAACAAACAAACAAACAAGCGCACTAGCTCAGAGATGTTAAGTGAGCTGTCCAAAATCACACTGCTGATAGGCAGCCTGGTGTAGTAGGAAGCACTGCTGAGGCTGAAAGGTCTTATTCCACTCCCACTGCACTTAAGCATAACTTACCCTACATGGAGAGATGCTCCCCACCAAACTATCACTTTTTCTAGCACTTCAGTCATTTTTTTGAATTAAAGGGAAATTCTAAGCTCAGACAGATTCTGCATTTATTGCAAGGATGTTTATGCTATGAAGTAAGCAGAGAATTGAAGGATGATTGCCCTTTGGGGCAGGCTGAAAACCTAGTGTCATGCCTTTAAAAACAGGGCACTCTGTTTGAATCAAACATTGACTTTTATCTGGTTGATGACCGTTGGAAACATGAATGATGGAGGCTACTTTGCGGTCATTAGAAACATATTACCAATGGACTGTTTGTAGTCCATCTGTAAGGACAAAGAAATAGGTGCATCATGGAAGAAAAAGAAACAAGGTGGGAAGGAACCAGCATTTAGTGAGCACCAGTTACATGCCAGGGGCTATGCACACGGCATCCCATTGACTCCTGGTAGCACTCTAGGAAGGTGCAGATCGTGAATCTCACCTTTTGAAAAAGAACCTGATGTTCACAACGTCAAATAGTTTGGTCAGAACTACATGGCCAGTGAGAGTCAAGGGCAGGCATGGAACCCACGTCTGCCTGATAATTTTCACTATATCCACCTATCTTCCTGACACAACATTGTAATGTTCTTTATAATGGGGTTTTACCTACATAATCACTTTTCTTTATTTCTCTGATTAGTTCTAATTCACTCTAAAATCACATCATCCCCAAATAGAGGTCTCTCAAACATTTTTTCATTCAATTCCTACATTCATCTATATTTATTTAGCTCCTTCTAGATAACGAGCACCATGGTAAGTTCCAGAGATACAACAGCAAACAAAGTAGACTCTGTTCTGCCCTGATAGAGATTATATGCTAGAACAAACTTTTTCCATAAAGAATCAGAGAGTTAGTATTGTATTTTAGGCTTTGCAGGTTGCACGGTCTCTGTTGTAACTCCTCAGCTCTGTCACGATAGCATAAAGTAACTATGCATAACACATAAATGGATGGGTATGGCTGTGTTTCAATAAAACTCTACAGAAGGAACTAGTGAGCCAGATTTGGCTCTCAGGAGTTTGCTGACCTCTGTTCTCTAAAGTAAGCATCAGAAAAGTAATCATGCACTAAGAACATGTTCTGATAATTACTCTAATTAAAAAAAATACATTGAGTCCTGGGTCTATACTGCATGTACACCTAAGCCAGATTGAAAGAGATTAAGGATGGCTTCTGGGAAGAATTGGCATTCACAAAGCTATCTGAATAATGACTGGAGAATAACCAAATAAAAATTTTTCTGGCCCTCTTCTGCTTATGTTTTCCTTTACCCACATTTCTAATGAACAATTCTTTATTTTACAAATATCTGAATATTTTTGCTTGTCTCATTCCTTTTCATCAAAATAATTCAAATCCCCTCCCCTTCCTCCCTCAACAAGTACCTCATCTTTTTTCTTCAGTTTGTCACATTCTAGATTTTACTCCATACATCAGCAGTCTTGTAAAAGTTTGAACAAAAAGTTTGAACCTGGGAAAATTTTGTGGCACGTAAACCCCATACCTAAAAAGGTGATCGAAAATAAATAAATAAAGCCAGCAGCCTGGCTCCAGAAGTCCTCACAGGATGACCAAACTTTCATGAAGCCAGCCCAGACCAGGGCTTGTAAAAATTTAACTTTATCTCAATCTCAAAAAATTCTCACAGATTAAGCTTTAAGGAACATGAGTTCACAGCCCAAATCAAAAGTAAACAAGGTAGCAAGGTAACATGAGAGAGAGAGTTGTAGAAACAACAGATAGCAAAGTGTGACCTGCAAAGATTTCAGATATTGAAATGATCAGACATAAAATATAAAAATCATATACTTAATATTTTTGCAGAAATAAAGAGAAGTTTGAGCTTATCTTCTTGAGACAGAATGAATGTAGCTTCTCTTGAAAAGAAACAAGGGGCCAAAAAAAAGACCAAGAAAATTTGAAAAAAACCCAGTAGAACTTCTTGAAATGCATTGATAAGTAGATTAAGAAACAGATTAAATGTAACTGAAAGAAGAATTAGTTATTTGGAAGAGATAGATTAAGTAATAGATTCATGTTGCCAAACAGAGAATGAGAGAGCGCGAAGATACATCCAAATAAAGAATCAGGCATTAATGCAGACGCACAGGAAATAGAATACATGAAAGAGACATAAAATGTACTAGAAAGATACAATAGAGTAAATGCGGAAGAGGCGCAATTCCAAAAGATCAAGACTAAGATTTCCTAGAATTATTGAATGAATGAATATAAACTTTCAACCATAAAATAAGAAGCCCATTACCAAGTGAAGAACTCCTGTTCAATACACTTGGCCAAGTTACAATGAAGGGATTTTCTATTATTTTTAGAGGTGATCATGTTCTAAGACAGAGATGGTATTTTGATAATGTTATGGTGCTTGGGCTTCAAAAGTAGGTAATACTGTGAAAAACATTCTGCCAAGTTTGCACTTTCTCTATCCACCAAATTCACTGTTTCTGTCCACGATATTACTTTGCTGTTTTAGTGGGACACATGGGAATCTAGGCTTTAGGGCAATGTTGAAATCCCTGGAGCCCTTCAGTGTCCAGTACAGAGTTCGACACCTATCGATTGCACAAAGAAGGTTGTTGACTGACAATTGGCATGATCACGTCAGCAACAATGGGGAATATGAGAGCTTTCTGAAAGCAGCATCTGAAAGAAAGGAACCTAACAGCATTTTTCCAAGCCTTAAAATAAAATTAGATTTAGCGATAACCAGCTTAATACAGATGTACCCAAGCCCAACCACAGCAAGGGCTCAGGTTGTAATAAAAATAATCATCACTAATATTTGTGGATTATTTACTATTTGTCAGGCACTATGCTAAGCATGTAATGAGATGAGAAAGCAGAAATTATTTTATATCTTATTTAACAGGTGTTTAGCACACATAATGAAAACAAAATACTTATAGTCTCTATATTCTCTAAATACATCACTGAACCTTAAACCTGACATACTCAGCTATCAACACTATAATACCAAGAGGTACCAAAAGATAAATAAAATTAACTTTATTTTTTACTTTAACTTAGAAAAGTAAACTTTAACCTATGAAAAATTTTTAAAATTGAAAAAAAGTTTGGGGTGCTGAGGCCCTTTTTATCTGAATGCAGCAAAAATTTACATAAAACAAAATAATACCCATAAAGGGATGTTCATAAAAATGTTTCTTGGTTTACCAATTTGGTAGGTTGTGAATATACCAGAAACAGCATACCTCAGGACAGCAAATCTCAAAGTTTAGGGTACACTAGCATCACCAAAGACCTTGTGAAAATTGTAGCTTCCTGGGCCTAGCTAGAAGGGTTCTGATTTATCAGGTTGGAGTTGAGGCCCAGATTCCACTCTTTTCACAGGCACTACAGGAAAATGTGAGTGAGTGGTCCAGACATCCCCCTCAAAACTCTTTTTTAGAAGAAATAGAACCACAAGCCCTCCCTTTCCTATGCACCCTGAGAATCCCGAACAACTTCCACTTAATCAACAGAACTGATCTTATTCTCAAGGATCCAGTTCTGATCTGGGTCCATGAGTCTAGGGATGAATTAGAACCATAATGATTTCCAGGCATGAGGTAAACTGCTATATCAGCATCTTTAATAATTGATTCAAAAGCATCATGCACTTAAGAAATTCTTTTCATATGCCAATCTACCCTACCCCTCCTCTAAAAAGAGAATAGTCTCACCTTATAGTTGTTATAGTAATGGGCCATTTTCTCTTGGTCTTCACTTCAGATTCAGTTACAAAAATGAGAAAGAGTAGTTTGGGAAAACCAGATGTTTGGAACATTTTTTATTTGACTTGAAGAGTGAGCGATCAATATGTTTACCTGATAGCATTACAACCAATTGGACACCAAGGCCTCATTAAAGTTCAGCATCATGTTGAGTGGCTAAAACCAGGAGGTGGAGAGCATATGTAAACACCTTTGGTAAAATACAACTGTGTTTACTCTTACTTGGAAACAACCCTTGGAGTATCTTTTAGGAACTATTTCCTTAAGATATATAATATTACAAGTGATAGATCCTAATTATAACTAAACCATAAGGTCTTGTTATTTCTGTCTAATGTGTGAACCACAAGCATTTGCTCTCACAGAGGGATAATTGTGAGGGAAAAGAAAAGAAATATATTTAATTCACCATCTACTTACCAACATGGAATTTCCCTGTCTACTAAACTTACATTATACAACATTCACTCCAGAGGGTTAAATATATATCTTTTTTTCCTCTTCAGAACTTTCTGATGACTTTGCAAACTAGCCAACAATTCAGCACAAAGGCATCCGGAGTCACGCTGGCCTGTTGTGACAGAATCATGAGACTATGTGGGATTCGACCCATTCTGAAAATGCCCAAACCATGAACAGCAGAGGCAAACGAAGTCAAGTGTCAAAGCCGGAACAGTCTGAGAGAGACTTGCAACTCAGACTCCACAATTTACCGGGAAAGTTTTCTGCAGTGACACGGAATAGAGGCAACAGACAGAAAATGACAGCAAGTCTTCTAAGAACAACCCTTGCCTTGCTCTTGCTTGGCCTCTGTGGGGTCCTGGAGGCAACAATATCATGCAGAAATGAAGAAGGAGATGCTGTGGATTGGTAGGTAAATGAAATGCAAGGTTTGGTGCATGCAAATAGAAAACCAGGGTGTCAGATGCTCATTGATTCGCTATAAAGTTCCAAAGGAGACTTCCACTCCATGTCTCCTACTAAGAAGAAAGGAAATTAAAGAAGAGAGGAAATTAAATGGGCTAAATATTCAGATAAGGGTAGGCTTCTGAGTGAGGGTGCTTCCTCCTGAGAAAGAGCTGAGCAGCGCCTGTGGGCCTGACCCACTGCTTTCCGTGGGGCAAGGCTGGTGGCCACGGATGTGGGGTGGAGCTGACAACTTCTCTCAGTGGACAATTTCCTTTGATTGTGTTGTGGCTTTGCTGACAGAACCCTTTTAGAGACTGACAAAAGAGAGAAGGCATATTATTTTCTTTTGGACACTGGAGCTTATGCTTCTCATTATGATAATAAGAGGGCATGATTGTACATAGTAGTGTGTGGTTAATCTCCTTCATTAGACAGCACAAGCAGCAATTGGAGTGGGGAATAGGTCAGAGGCCTCTCGAACAGTGTCAAAGAGACTAAACAGCTTTGTATCAGTCATGGATCTCAGAAAGCTTTGATCACTTTTTCATTCTTTAATTAGGACATTTGGTTTGCCATTATGGTTGGCATCAAGCTTTGTGTAAACTTCAGGCTAGAGAACACAGGCACACTCACTCAGTCTCTCAGCAAACAGTTGCTCAGCTCATACCAGGCTTTGTGCTGAGTTTTAAAAATACACATATAAACAAAACATAGTTCTTGCCCTCAAGGAGCTCATAGTTATGTGGCAAGGGCATAGACCAGGCACTGGGGAGCATAGAGCCCAAAGGCTTCTCTGAGGAAGTAGTTTGGAACTAAGTTTTAAGAACAAATGTAAGTTAGAAAAACAAAGGAGATGCAAGGGCATCTCAGGCCAATGAAAGAGCAATGACAACGTCTGGAAGCAAGGAACAAGGAGGAGAGTTTGGAAGAATTTCAGTATTGATGGCCCTTTAGAAGGAAGTGAGGAGATGGTAGGAGGTGAGCTTAGGGAAATAGATAAAGGCCAGTTCATGAAGGGCTTCATGTGCTGAGCCCCAGAGTCTGAACTTGACATTGAAAGGGAGCTACTGAAGCACTTCAGGCTGGGATATGATGTGGTCAGATCTGCATTTTAAAAAGCCCTCTAGCAGTACTACGAAGGCCGGCCAACTGGAGACCAGTCTAGAGTCATGAAGGACATTTGCAGCATTACAGGTGAGAAGCGGTGTGTACCCAGCTTAGAGAGGGGACTATGGAAATAGAGAGGAGGGAACACTCTGAGAAGACTTGGTAATGAATTGGCTGAAGGTCGTAGGTGACAGGGAAAAGAAAGACTTTCAGGTTACTGGCGTCTGTGACTGCGTGGATGTATTCCCTAACAGCAGGGGATGAGAAGATTTGGAGCAAAATATCACAAACTTGGTTTAAAAAATATGAAGATAACTTCTCTGGAACATCCTGGCATTTATGCTTATCTGACCTTATCACAGATTCTCAACTGCTGTGCCATGGCACACTGATAGTTTATACACCCTTCACTGGTAGGCCACCAAATTGTTATCAATATTTAAAATTTATTCTTGCCATAACTAAATGGACAATTGCTTAGCAACATCAGTCAGAGGGAATGCTGAGCTGAGCAGACTGCAAGACAGTCTCAAGCTGCTACAACTTACCATGAGAGTTAAAGCGCAGAATATACTAAGTCAGCACCAAAGAAAACTTCTTGCTTCCTGCCAGATGAGAGGACCTTGCTCTGAGTAAGAACTCATGGTCAGAGCAGGAGAAGTTCACTTAAATAGAAGTAAGACTGAATAGAAGTGAGTAGTGGGAAGCTTTATGGGCAGTTGAGACATTTGCGTTCTAATAGTGAATTCTTTACAATGTTTTCTTACTGTGAGTGTTTGAGAAATAAATATGGGGTTTGTGCCATTAGGGAGTATTTGGATAAACTGGGGTAATTTTGTCCTCAGGGGACGTTCAACACATCTGCAGACAGTTTTGATTGGCAAAACTGGGAGTAGTACTGGCCTCTAATAGGTGGAGGGCAGGGATGTTGTAGTGGACAGTCCCCCACAATGAAGAATGATCTGACTCAGACTATGAATAGAGCACATTGAGAAATCCTGAGCTAGATGATCCAAACATGCCCAAATGCTGTGTTGGCCCAACCACCTCTCCTCCCCAAAGGAGATATATACAAACAGGAGACAGTGTCAACAAAAGCGAAGTGCTTACTTAACTAACTGGCCTTGGCCCCGAATTCTCAATGCAGAGCATTCTGATAAACTGAAGGGGAGACTGTGGCTCAGGCCAGAGGCCCCACCTACCCAAAAACCCAAGCCCAAATCTCAGACCCAGACAGCCAGTTGCAAAGATGAACATGTCAAGAACCTAGGGAAGAAAAGAAAAACACCCCAAAGACCTTCCAGTCCAGGCTTGGGCCTTGGCCTTCTCCCCATGTGTAGCCATATGGCCTGGGAATGAGCGAGAATAGGGGTGGGGAAAAAAGGCTGAGCTTGAGCACATCGCTTTCCTTAGACTTGAAGGCCTTCTGTGAAATGTAAATGAAACGATATATGTAAATGCTTAACACAGTGGCTGCCACCAGGGAAGCAGTTAATTAAAGTTAGTAATTCACAATTATTTCCTTTGTTAGGTTTACCTTTTATAAGTTACCTAAAAGGCAAGACAAGGAAAGTAGAAAGACTGGGTTAGAGTACCTATACCTAGACTCTACAATCAGAAGCTGGAGGAGGAGTAAGCAACTAATGAATACCACCAAGAGTGTTTTGGGAAGAACATTAGAACAGCTGTATGAAGCATATGCCTCCAAGGTATGTTATAGTTAATTATTAATTTGAATCATATAAAATGCATAAAACAGAATCCAAAGCTTCCAAAAGATTTTAACTGCTCCCTTACCCAACTCCAAATCTTAGCCACTTGATTCACAGTCTGAATCAATCTGAGCAAGACCTTAGGAATTTGTCATCAGGCTCCACAGTAATGCCAGATTGTTGGTGCATTCGGCACCATGTGCAGCGGTGTCACTGGGCAAGGTATGAGCTAGTTACACATTGAAGTCTTCTCGCTGACAAACTCTGCCAGCTTGCTTAGTCCTTGCTATCTTATCCCTCTAATGGAAATAGGGAGTAGAACCCTGTCCTGTTAAAATACAATGCAGACCTTTGATCAGTATGTCAGGAGTTGTGGAGTTGTTTGTGCCATGGTGGTGATGAGTGGTAGTTACCTACAGAGAGGGTCACTCAGTCTTCCTTTTAATTAATCATCTCAAAATGGTAGGTCGAGGGCTGGGACTCTAGTTCAAGACCCTAGAACTAACTTGCCTGAATGAAGATTAAATGTGCTATCTGGATTTCATCAGGCAGTGAGATGACCAGCAAAAGAGGCCGAGGCAAGTAGGCCTGCTGGCTCAGGGTGGGTGGTCCCTGGCATTCCAGGCACCACGTGCTGTTCAGTCCAACCAGACGTGATGAGTAAAATCAAACAATCATCAATGTCTGATTACACCTGATTATGCATTTACTACCAACTTATAGAGAAGTAAATATATAAAATGACTCAGGACTTAAAATGTGCTGAATTTACATGTTAACTAATTTAATCTCCACAACAATATTGTGTTAGACTCTAGTCCTACTGAACATGTGTATTGAGTATTTGCTTAAAATGTGCAGAGAGCTGTCACTGTGTATGCTAATACTCACTTTTTTCACCTGCCATTAAAACCAGCCTTCAGAGCCAAGTTACAAAGTCAAAACCTACTCGTCAGCTGTGTGAGTACCTATGATGTGCCAAGCACTGTTGTTCTGGGTACTTTAAAAAAATGTTTTATCTCAGCAACCCCTTTGCTTTGAATTAATAGATTATTGTGTAAAATCAAAACTGCTTGCGGCTGCTTGTATTTTCCAAGGCTGGGGCTGAAGGCCCGGAGCACAAATCAACAGTGAGAAATACACACTTACACAGTTTCCTTCCCAGTTTCAGACACTACGCTGTGTGTGTGGGTGGGGGTGGGGGATGGTGGTGGTGAGAAACAACATTGTAAAACCTCTGTCATTTACCTTAGTTGGGGCAGATGGTTCAAAGTTTGGCAGAATATAGTAATAATCTTTGGAGGCTCAGGAGGGCAAGAGAG